TCCAAAATGGGAATATCCACTATGGACCATCATCAATGAATTTACATTGTTGTAAAATGTTGGTTCTCGAATTCAATTGACGTTATTCACGAAAAAAGAACAATTATTCAACAATTTTGATGGAAAAAACATCAGTTGAAATCTACCACATCGTCCGAAATTTCATACCGTAATTTACATAACCGTTCGGTTGGTTAAACATTCCTTCTACTGGCAAATCGTTCGCTATTACTCATAGGGACTGCCGTATCGGAGGCTCACAAGGCAGAGCAGGAAGCTGAGTTGTCGTCAGTGGATGTGCCCTTAAACCGGGTTATGAATGACAGAGTCGTCGAACGGCAACCTGACGTAACGTTGACGTGTTATTTTCACGACTCTTATAACGGCGTGTGACAGTTGACAGTACCGGTGGCACCACCTCGGGCCGACCTGGCAAGTAGTAGTAGAGGTTTCCCTAAGCCCAAGCTGAGAGCATGGCGGTCGAAGAAGTTGGCCGACTCGAGGATCCCCTTGGCACAGAGGAAGCCCACAGTAGCAGCGACGGGGGAGGATGTGAATGAGAGGACTGTGTTGGGCATGAATAAGGAGGAACGGGAGGAAACGATGGCTGAGGTGAGTTAGCTTGGAACTGTTCAGAGCGTGAAGCCCTTAACAATGGGGATTTTTGAGCTCAAATTTTGGGTGAGTCTGAAAACTTTACTTTGTAGTAAAAATTTTCTGTTATTTTTGTGGCGAACTCGTGTACGTTGCGTTACATTGAAACCTAATTAGAGATTGAGGTGTGAGTATTATGTTAACATTTATGAATAGTAGTAATAAACGTAAAGTATTCATTTATTTTTATTATTACATTGGAGTTTCACCCTAGTGATATGAAAAACATATTTCACGATAACTGCGTATCACCGCGAATAACGCGTTTTTCACCGAGTTTTACGCCACTTCGCGCAAAACGGGTGGAACTCCATTATAATAGCCAATAACGTCTTCTGATAATAGTATCACAGCAACGATTGCTGATATATAATGTGAATAAAATACTATATAGTATTTTGCGGTTCCTTCGGTGAGTTGAGCAGTTTCCACGTTATGAAACTGATACTAATACGCGACTCAGTGACAAAAACCAACCATTATTTCTCTACAACATAGTGTTTAACTATGTGCATTTTTGTTCACTTTTGAAGCCCACGTATGTCAGGTTAAACGCTTGTTCAGTGCTTCTAATATTGAGTTCCTAAAGGAACAGGGGCGTAGGAAGCTCGAGTTTACCTCGAAACCGGAGTACAACGCTGCAGTAGGGGCGGGTAGTGACGACATGTACGAAGGAGA